ACTGGAAGTCCCACCCCCTAAACCCCAACCTTTGCCACCAGAAGTCCCTCCCCTTGCCCCCGGGAGTACACCTTTCAGCAAGGGGTTTTGCCATCTCAGAACCAGAAAAATACCAAATTATATTCTAAAAGTCAAACATCTACAACATTTATTAATGTGATTTCAAAAAATATTTTTGTCCTGATTTACATGTGTTTGTGTAGTGTACATAGAAGTGATCACACAATAGCTTAAAATAAAATCTCTTGTATACTGTGGGGGAGTGGGGAGAATGATGGGGGGTGGATATAAGTTTATGGAGGGCTGTGGATGTGTGGGTATGTGGGGTGTGGGAGAGGGTGTGGATAAGTGTGGGGTGAGAGAACATGTGGGTGTGTGTGTGGATATGGGACTTGTGGGATGGAAGAGTGGCTACGGTGTGAGGAGGTGTGGGGGTCTGCATGTATGGCAGGTGTACTTGCGGGACTTGCCCTACACACACACACACACACACACACACTCTGTGCCTCCCAAACTACACACACATGCACACTGTCCCCCTCATTGCTCTCTCTCCCTCCCTCATTGCGCACACACACTCGCGCGCGTGCGCGCACACACACACACACACACACACACACACACGCACACTGTCTCTCTCTGTGCCTCCCTCACTACACTCTCTATCTCCCTCCCTCCCTCATTGCATGCATGCACGCATGCGCGCGCGCACACACAGACATACACACACACACACCCTCCCGCTCTTGGCCCTAGGGTATTGGTGTGGCCCTGTGCTCCTGTGGTCCAGCAATGCAGCCCAGGGCCACGTGGTGCTGAAGCAGGCGGGCAAGGAAGCAGTGAAAGCCTGGGCAGGCAGAGACTTTTGGGTGGGGGGATGGGAGGGGGCTGGGCTGGCCTTGTTGCTGGCTCCTCCTGCTCCTATCATCTTTGACAGGCAGTCAGGAGCAGATAAATATTCATTTTCTAAAATTTTTAGGGGCCCTGTGGGCCAGACCAAATGGCCTGGTGGGCTGAATCCGACCAGCAGGCCATATTTTACCCACCTCAATCTAGATTAACTGCTGAGCAAACCTATGGGACAAAAAGGTTCACTTCCATAATCATATCCAGCAAAATTCAGTCTGATAGGAGCTGGGACTTATTTCACCCTTCATGAACACAATCTCTCTGGGCAAGTACACACATTAGAACTGCAAACTTCTGATTTGTAACACAATGGGTACACAACTTCACAACTGCCCTACAACAAGGATATCTCTTCCAAAACTGTTAAGAACCACAATGGAGTCATCTTCAAATAAAAATGTAACGCCTGTTTCCTTTTAATAAAGTGTTATCAAAGCAACACAAACAAAAAAATCCACTCAATTTGGGCAATATATAGGCATAGAGATCTTACTGTATTTAGGTCAGAACTAGGAACTGACAAACTAGTGGCCCTCTCACCCATATCTGTGACAGCGGCCAACATCAGATATTTCCGAGAAGGAACACAGAATCAAAGAACAGACAATTATGGAATAAACATATCGGAAATTTCTTCCTCAATGTCAATAAAGCATAAGGCTTTATATACCTCAAACGGTTATTACATCTAGCATCTTACACAAATTCCACAGCAATAAGCCTGGACCAAGCTCCAAGATAGATAGGTTTCTGGAAAATGTTATTTTGCCAGGATAGGGAAAGCTGACAAAGCTACTCGCAAGAAGTTAGTATTGCAGAAACATAGTCTATTTTGATCTTCCTAGATACATCTTTAATTAGACTCCAAGTACAGTAAAGCATTTAAGCATGTAAGTAGTCCCATTGACATGTAGAATTGTTCTGATGGACTAGAGCCTTAAAGGGTAAAAGGTGGGGCAAGTTACAGCCTTCGCAGTGCAAAGTTGTCAAATAAATAATTTAGACTAAACAAAAGTACTAAAAAAACCCTTCAGCGTTGAAGGTGGAATGCAAATCTAACATTTGAATGTTTTAAGGTTTATTAGTTTTAAAGACTAGGGACAGAAGTTACATACAAACCTTTTTAAGTGATCAGAAACTGGTTTAAACTGCAACAGAACAGAAGCTCAGTGCATATAAACTAGTTTCAAAATGACCGAAACTGGTTTACGATAAATCTGGTTGAATGTAGTATCAGACTTAACTGATTTAAAAATGTGGACATTGGAGTCAGAAGCAGACTGGCCAAGTTCACCGATGACACCAAACTTTGGGGCAAAGCATCCATACCTGAAGACAGGAGGGCCATCCAGGCTGACCTGGACAGGCTCAGCAAATGGGTGGATGAGAACCTGATGGTGTTTAACACTGAAAAATGCAAGGTTCTCCACCTTGGGAGGAAAAACCTGCAGCATCCTTATAGGCTCAGCAGTGCTACGCTAGTTAGCACTACGGAAGAAAGAGACTTGGGGGGCATCATTGACCACAAGATGAACATGAGCCTTCAATGCAATGCTGTGGCTAGTAAAGCGACCAAAACGCTGGCTTGCATCCATAGATGCTTCTCAAGCAAATCCCAGGACGTCATTCTCCCCTCGTACTCGGCCTTGGTGAGGCCACAGCTGGAGTACTGCCTCCAGTTTTGGGCCCCACAATTCAAAAAGGATGTGGAGAAGCTTGAGAGAGTCCAGAGAAGAGCCACGTGTACGATCAGAGGTCAGGAAAATAGACCTTACGACGACAGGCTGAGAGCTATGGGGCTCTTCAGTCTGGAAAAGCACAGGCTCGGGGTGATCTGACAGCCACCTATAAGTTTATCGGGGTGACCACCAGTATCTGGGGGAATGTTTGTTCACCAGAGCGCCCACTGTGATAGACCTCATACAGGTCTTGCAAATTGTACTCTTGGGGTGCAAACAAGCATTTGCTGCACCTGGTTTATATTTAGACAGTTTAAAGAAAGTTACCTAAATAGGTAGTGGTGCACACAGGCATTCGCCACTTCCAGAACCAGCGCGGGTAGCCTAAGTTAAGTAACTCAGGTGACAGTGAAGGCCTGGTTTGGAAGGGTGGGAGGAGATAGTTGAGGAGGTTAAAAAAAGGTCCAATCAGGTTTGGGGCATTTTAGGAAGAGCACTCCCAGGGCTGGGATGAGTGGTTAGTTTTCCTAACCCCAAGGCTGCACTGCAGAAACCCATATGCAAGCATTCACTAGACCTGGTTAACCCATTTTAGATTGGACCAACCCACGTCAATTTTTAAGTTAGTTCACCTCCTAACTTAGATTGGGCACACTATTTTTGGGTGATTCAAGCCCTGTGAATGCCTGCACAACTGGGCATTCAGACTAACCTAACCTTGCTTTTGGTCAGTCTAAATGTATCACTTGTACACACCCTTAGACCAAAAAGCATGTCCAGTTGACAGTAGGAGAGCTTAGCATCTCAGAATCAAGCTTTAAGGATACATTAATGCCAAAATGAAGTTACATTCACTTCAGTATTAGTAGCTGAATACACATTAAATCCGAAAAAAATCTGGATTTATTTATTTTTAAATAAAATAGTCTGAAATCTATAAGGACCAAAATAGACCAAGTAGAAATGAATGCTGGCCTCATCAGCAAGCTACAAACAATCTATTGCTTTATATATTCTAAAAGTTTATATTTTATTCTCTGCTAAAATATTTTGTTTACATTTTATATTTTCACACTTAACAGAAATATACTGGAGGACAACAGTAAGCATGACAGAATTAATATAATTAAATATTAAAGTTTCTCTGTGTCAAGAAAGACTTGACATCTCTGCTTTTAAAGTGTCTTAGAAAAGTCATGGTTTACTAGAACCAAAATGTCAGTGCACCTTTTCTGATTATTGACAGAGGAGTTATTTTGCTACTATAAATTCAAAACAAAATATTCTTCTGCCTGACGTGAGTCACTAAAGTGCACTTTCAGACAGAGAAGTAAACACTGAAATACGAAGGTAGGATTATAAAGCCAGAAAGCCACCTGCCTTAGCCAGGACACGCATTATATATTTATTGGTTTCTGCACACCTATATTCAATATGCCCGTGCGAAGTGGCTAGTATTTGCTTCACATTCAGATTCGGCCAATTCAGGGGACAGTAATTTGATCTGGTGATTTGAATCACTGTCCTGAATCGATTCAGCCAAATCTGATTCAAAGATTCGGATGCTACCGAATCAGCCAAATCTCTGACTCTCACAGGCCCCATCCCACGCCAGTCTCTCAGCCCCGGCAATGGCTGCCCCACCCAGCCCCAGCTCCCAGCACTTAGGGGGAAAAAAAAAAGCTCCTACTCACGATGTGCTACCAGGCATGCTGCATGGGGGGCTCTGTCACAAGCCCCCAGACCCCTGCCCACTCTTCCAGACACCCCCATGGCTGCCCTGCCTCCCAGCCCTTTTAAAAAAAAACCCGAACTCACCGGCTCCTGCTCGGCAGGGGGGCAATCTCTACTTCCCCCCTACTGCCCCACGCCATGTGGGGGGCCCTGCACCAGCCCCCAGAAACCCTAAGGCCACTGCAGAAGCTGGTGAGTACGGATTTTTTTGGTGGTTTTTTTCTTAAAGGGCTGGAGCTGGGGCAGGCGGGTCATCCATGGCCGGGGCTGGGAAAGCGGGGGGGGG